TGTAGGGTGTAGTAACCAGAAGAATGTCCTACCCTTTCAGTCTTGCAGGCCTTGAGTGTCCTTGGGGTTGCTGGAAAGCAGAACGTGATCTTAAGCCCCAGAAATCTGCGAGAGCACTGTCTCTTTAAATATCCTAAATAGTCAAGCCACTTTTTAAACCTTCAAAATGGCGGCAACCTTCATACCGGCAAAAGTCCACAGCTTAGCCCACCTTTCTCTTCACCTTCTCCGTTTGTTCTCCAGCCACCGTGCACAGTCCTCCGTGCAGTCCCCGGCTAGCAGGGTGATTTTTAGGTTAATTCTTAAGTCCTACCACCACAGGATTCTGCCAGAGTGCTGTCTCTTTAAATATCCAAAATAGTCAAGCCGCTTTTTAAACCTACAAAATGGCGGTGCCCTCCGGACCGGCAAAAGTCTGCCACTCAGCCCACCTTTCTCTTCACCTTCTCTGTTTGTTCCCCAGCTACCGTGCACAGTCCATGCAGTCCCTGGCTAGCAGGGTGATTTTTAGGTTAATTTTTAGGTCCTACTACCACTCGGGAATGTCCAAGTCATTTGTGCCGTCAGGGGCGCTCAGGTCCCTGCCAGACCGCAGCTCCGTATGTCTCCTTTTTTGGTATTTTCACGCAAATTCTTCTGCTAGTTGGGGTTTAGTCTACTTCTGTATCCTTCCCTTCAAGGCTCAGGGCTCCAAGATTATCTTCTGTGTCTGTGTCAATTGGTTTCACTTTTCTTGGTTGAAGAGGCTCTGTGCAGTCCTTCCGCCTAGTCTGCCATCTTGTGGGAACTCAAGATTAATATTTTCATATGAAAAACTTCCAATCCTAGCTTCCTCTTCACAATCTTGAAATTTGATTTGTTATTTTATTAACTGGAATTAAAGATTTTATGTATATTTCTTATTGAGTTTTATATTGATGGTTTAGTCACAGGATTCCAGTTCTGGCAAGATAACTTTTAGCCTAGAGTCTGTAATCTGTAATATTAGTTCTATCTCAATTTTGTGTCACATTTAAGTTTGTTATGTATGTTTTCTGTTCCCCACCACCAAATCTTAAGATGACTTAATATCCATTTAAGTTTTAAAAATACCTTGATTCCCTACTGCTGCTTTAAGACCTTCAGCAAAAAATGCTGATAGATTGTGGTTCTCTTTTCTTCTGAACTCAGATGTACTTTCAGTCTTATTTACACAGAGGACTGTAACCAGCCAGTGTCAACCAATCAGACTTGCTCTTTAAGTGGAATCTTCACTCCTCCAATTTCACACTGAAGTATTTCATCCTGGTAGACAGAGAACCAATGATCAATGCTTTCGATATGTCTCCATCTGTTGAAAGTTCACTTTAGAGAGTTATCATCCAAAAGAAATACCATCATTTTAGTCAAACAAGACTGTCAAAGAATTGAAATTTGCTGAAATATGCCACCAGAGCTATGAGCAAAATGAAGAGAGTAATTGAGCTTTAGGATCAGACATACCTGATTAAAAAAAAAAAATACAGCAACCTACCTCTTACAAGATGAATGAACTTAGGGAATCACATGATCTCTCTAAGATTGTTTCCTCATTTATAAAATGGAGGTGATAAAATATTGTCTTGGAAATGCAACACACATTTAATACAAAGGCTGGTACACAGTAGGTGGTCAATAAGTGGTAGCTATTATTATGTATCAGAAGGAAAACTAGGACTAGTTGATTGAGACTTTTTAATTGTGAATCCAACCTGACTCCTAATAATCAGTAATTTTGTTTAAACATTCATAATCATTTTAATTATTTAAAAATTTCCCAGAGACCAATGGATTTTATTTATGCTCTGGTGGCATAATGCCTGAGGCATTTGACTGCTAACCAGAAGGCTGGTGGTTCAAACCCACCAGCCACTCCTTGGAAGGAAGGTTGGGCAATCTACATCCATAGTGATACCGCCTCAGAAATCCAAGGAGGGATCACTATGAGTTGGATTCGACTCGACAGCAGTGAGTTTGGTGGTTTTTTTTTTTTTTGGTTATACAAATTCCAAGATTTTCTTGTAGGCCCTATAATAATCAGACATTTCCATCTGAGATCAGGTTACAGGTTCCTTGCAACTTGGAACACCAAAACTTATCTTCCTTATTGTCAGCAATAGGAGTCAATCAGATATATTGAGCTGCAGCTACTTATTCAAATGAGACAACATCTCTATGGACCACTTACTGTCTTCCCATCCAGGCTTCCTGATTTAGGAACTCAAGGATCAGGGTGTGGTGGCAAAACAGCAACTTTTAACAATGGTTCCTCAATTTCCTGATCACATACATAGGTCATCTGTAGGTGAAGGAATTTTACCATTGATGCTAAGATCTTTATTCATCCATCCATCTATCCATTTAATCAACAAGTATGTATTAGGCTGGACTCAAAGCTAAGATATAAAAATTATTGCTTCATAGAAATTACAATCTTAGGGAGAAATACACTTTAAATTAACAGTTTCACAAATGTTTAATTACTAGCTGTTGTTAGCTTCCGAGGGAAAGCCTAAGTGTCTAATAAGAAAGCAATTAGGAGGATACTGATGCAATTTGGAAGGGCAAGGATGATTTCTAAAAGAAGTTGAGCTAAGACATAAGGAATACATAGGAATTAAACAGGCAAAGAGGGGTAAGTCAGATCAACTGGGAAACTGTCTTTCCAGATAGAAGCACTTGGAAAGGCCTAAAATAGGAATAAGCAGGGGCACTTTGGGGGAGCTCAAGAAGGTCAGTGAGTTTGGAAGACAGCAATCTAAAGACAAAGAAATGGCAGTAGCAGTGGTGGTAATTATTGGTTATAGTGGAAATGATGTATGGTGATGATTGTGAAATATTTGTGGTAGTAATGAGTACAGAAAAAAAAAAAAAACTCAAACTCACTGCCATTGAGGTGGTTCCAACTCATAGTGTCCCCTCCTTTGGTTTCCGAGGTGGTATCTTTATGGAAATAGATTGTCCAATCTTCCTTCCAAGGAGTGGCTGGTGGATTTGAACCACCAGCCTTCTGGTTAGCAGTCAAATGCCTTAGGCACTATGCCACGGTAATGTGTGGTATGAGGATGTGTGGTGGTGGTAACTTTTTGAAGTTCATTGTCACTTTTTCCCATGTATAAGCATTTTTAACACTTAAAAGATGATTTTCCCAGTGCTTACAAAAACATACTCTGGAGCCAGACTGACAGTGTTTAAATCTTAGCTTAGTAATATACTAGTTCTTGGATTTGGGCCAAAGGCCCTCACCTTAAATTTACCTCTGTTGTCTCACCTTTAAGATGGGATGATAGTAATTTCACTTATCTCATAGAACTTATGTGAAACTAAATCACATCATTTAGGCAAAACAGAATAGTACTAGCAAACAGTAAGTGCTGAAATGTTTATTTACATTTCTTTCTATTTATTTTTCTTGTTTCTCAAATAACATTGAAAATATATTAGAGGTTTTCAAAAAAATTCCATCAGAAAGGAAATGCCAAATTTTTTATTCTTCTCAAGGTGCAATTAGGATGATCTTTGCAATTAAAGCTAGATAAAAGAAGGTATCATTTAATATTATTGGAAAGCGGGAGAGAAAATAGCTGGTGGCAGGACAGATCAACTTCCTCTGTCCAGTGTCTGTGGGACATCTAGGTGGAGAGGTTAGGTGGGAATACGTGTCCATAGCTGAGGAGAAAGATTTTATGGTCTACCAAAACACCTTACCAAGTTCTTGCTTTTCTGAGAACCTACCAACTGCCATCAAGTCCATCCCAACTCATAGTGATCCCCGTTGGGTTTCCAAGGCTGTAAATCTTTATGGAAGTAGATTGACTCATCTTCCTCCCATGGAGCAGCTGATGGGTTTGAACTGTGAATCTTCTAGTTAGCAGCCAAATGCCTTACTCACTGTGCCACCAGAGCTCCTTTTTCAGAGAACTCACCAAAGTCTCACTGCTAAGTGAGTTGATTCCAACTCATAGTGACCTCCATTAGGTTTCCAAGGTGGTAAATCCCTGCAGAAGTAGATTACCCCATCTTCTTTCTGCAGCGTGGCTGGTGGGTTTGAACCACTAAACTTCTGGTTAACAGTCAAATGCCTTAGGTACTGAGCCACCAGAGCTCCTGGGTTTTCAAGGAACAGTGAGGTATAATTTCAAAAAGGTTAATGTTCTCATCTTGGTTCACTTTGTTGTTGTTGTTGTTAGTTGCTATGGAGGTGGCTCTGACTCATGGCAACCCAGGTACAACAGAAGGAAATATTACCTGATCCTGAATCATCTTCATAATTGTTGGTATGCTCGAACCTGTTCTTCTGTTCTGTGGGTGTTTTAAATGCCTTCCAACGTAGAAAGTTATCTTCTAGCAGTACATTTGTTTTGGTTCTCCAGTGCTGCTCTAATATAAGATACCACAAGTGGGTGGCTTAAACAAATGGGGATTTATTCTCTTACAGTTTAGGAGGTTAGAATTAAGAGTTCAAAGTGCCATTCTCTAGAGATTGGGTGACAGCCCCTTGACCTTGGGTTTCAGCTCTGTCTCTTGCTCCTGGCCCTCTGAAGTTAGAGGCTTCTTTTAACTCAAGCCACTGCTGGCTGCTGAGGCTGACAAATCCAAGGTCAACAGGTAAAAGGCACAGTCCCGAGATTATCAAACAACAATGCAGGCCACTTGTTCATGTCCAGAGACAATCCCAAGATTGGTAGACAACATGGCAGGCCACTCATTGATGACTGGCCAAATGCAGGATACAAGCATGCCAAAAAGCTAGAGGCCTTCCTCAGTGCTTCTCCTTAAATGCTGGAAGCAGACTACATGCTTAAGGCAGCTACTCAGCTGTCCTAGTAGACTCTACCATGGAGTTGACTACCAGTTTCATCAAGGAGAATAACTACATCCAGCTGCTCAGCCACTCAAAACCAGGCCCACCCAAATTAATGCACTGGATAATATTCACAAGGTTTCTCTTGGTGAAATTTTGGAAGTAGATCATCAGGACTTACTTCTTAGTCTATCTTGGTTTGGCTCCTTATTTGGATGTGATAACAAGATCTAATCACAATGCCGGTAGTTTTGAGTCTTCTTCCCCACAGGTAGGGATACTCTTTCAAAAAGCAAAGTTTTGGTAAAAGCAGCCATTGTTACTAACCATCAGCCCACTCTCCACAGTATGAGGCTCTTGGTGGGCATGGGGTGGTATCACTTTTGTTTGGTGGGTCTGGTGTTATCCTGGCTAAGGATGTTTAGCCTGCTTGGAAAAGAGAAAATTGATACAGTTGCACTTTAAGTTTCATTCAAGCAAACCAGGCTTGACTGTTGAGTCTTGACCCTTTCTTCCCTCTCTTTCTTTTCCTCTTTTAGTAACATGTGGCCAAAGAATAAGTACCAAGTCTGTGAAACCAGAAATTTCCAAAATTCTTGGTGGGGAACTTGCAGACATTAGAGATTTTCCATGGCAGGTGAGTATTTTTAATAAAGGAAAGCATCACTGTGGAGGATCTATACTCAGTGAGTGGTGGATTCTAACTGCATCCCATTGCATCATTAACAAAAATATGTAAGTATTACAAACAGAATCTTTTTTTTTTTTTAAGACAGTATGCTATGATATTTGCCCCAATCAAACCAACCAGACTCTGCCATTCAGTCAATTCCAACTCATAGTGACCCCCATTGGGTTTCCACGGCTGCAAATATTTGTGGAAGTAGATTGCTTCATTTTCCTCCTATGGAGCAGCTGGTGGGTTTGAACTGCTGACCTTCTGGTTACAGCCAAATGCCTTACTCACTATACCACAAGAGTTCCTTGGCATTTGCCCCAGATACCTACTATTCTCTTGAAACCACAGCCTAGGTTTTTCAACCACAGAAAAAAGCACCAGGAGGCTAAATATAGGCCTGTGTGGCACAATATCACACTTCATATGTGTGAGGTGAATTGCTCTCTGGTGGCAAAATGCCTAAGGCATTTGACTGCTAACCAGAAGGCTGGTGGTTCAAACCCACCAGCCACTCCTCGGAAGGAAGATGGGGCAATCTACTTCCATAGTGATACTGCCTTGGAAACCCAAGGAGGGGTCGCTATGAGTCAGATCTGACTCCATGGCAGTGAGTTTGGTTTTCGTTTTGGGTTTAGAATGTTTCACACTATGATGTGTTTTTAAATTGTGGAGCAAATATTCCTTGAATTTCTTATCATTTTACCAAGCAGTACATATGGTCCTTGCCAACCCTCTGAACAGTACTTTCCTGAGCATTTGCTGTCACTCAAAGGGAGAATGGATTCTCAGTGACCATAGAGTCAAGAATCCTAGAGGGGATTGGAACTGAGGACTCAGCACCATGTCTAGCCACACTTCAGAAACTCCTGAGGTTCTATCACAAATCACAAATCATTATTTTTAAGAAAATTTCCAAGTGTTGCTATATAACCAGCCAGCACTTCTTGAGTCAAGGCGAAGTCCTTCTACTACTTTTGCATAGCATGGCTTCACAAATATTTGTTGATAAATTTTTCAAATGAGGAAACTAAGCATCAGTGGGTTGAAATTTTGTGCCCGAGCAAGAGACCATCAGGCCAAGAGTTGTTTAGCAACAGGGTAGAACTGAATCTCACAGCTGTTTTCCTGACTCTATGACAAGTGCACAGTCCTTATACTACCGTCTGTCTCCCCACTTGTCAAGGTCACAGCCTCAGACTGGAGGAAATATTTTCTCTTAAAGCTTACATTCTGCCCTTCAAATGTTTACCTTTTTTAAAAAATATTTTTAATCTTAATTTTGAGATAAGATCTGATTTGGAGATCATCTATGGTGAAGACAACTTAATCAGGAACGTGATGAAGCAGAAAGTAGACAAGCTAATTATTCACTCTCAATTTGACCGCTGGATCTTGGATAATGACATAGCTTTGCTTTTGCTAAAATCTCCATTAAATGTGACTGTGAAGAAAGCACCTATCTGCCTTTCAGAGGTCACCAAAATAGAGAGATGGAGAAACTGCTGGGTGACCGGATGGGGCATAACCAGTGAGTAGCTATAGCCCAATCTAATGGGGTGGCACCATTCACTACTGTTTGGAATCAGAAGCAAACTCTGGAGGCTCTGCCAGGCCTGGAAAGCCTGCCTGGTGGATCCGAGGACTTCACTTCCTACTTCCGGTACTATAGTGAGCCACTTCCTCAGCCCACTTGGAAGGGTGGTGCTGTACTTCCTGGCTTTCTGTAGCCAGGTTTTCTGCCTATATGGTGGAACATGAACCCTACTTGTAGCCTCAGAGAGGTTTTCAGAGCCCTACAAGTGACTTGGAGAAATTTTGAAGGACATCTCAATGGGCAAAGGGGTGGACTAGGCTCTAGGAAATCCACATCAGTTTCAACCAGATCACCTTTGTTCTGATTGATGGCAACAGCTCTTCTCTATGACAGAGGGTCTCTGGCTGAAATGTTCAAGAACCACAAACTCAGGCTAAGGAGAGAGGATAAACTAAGTATAATATTTTTCCCTTATAGAGCTAACATGTAATCTGCTCACTCTCCCTTCTTAGACAAACCATAAATTATGAGCTTTTGTCTTTGTTATTGGTAAATGTGTCTTGCCCCAAAATAAAAATAGTAGAAAAATTATAGTCAAGTCACTGCTGCTCTTCCAGTTAGGCACCCAAAGGACTATTCCAGAGCTTAGAGTTGTTTTAAAATTCTTCTCTGGGAATTGCCCTCAGACGTGTTTAATGAGCTTCAAAAAAGGCCACCTTCTTAGAATTTCTCACATTTTATTCAACCTATGTTCAATGAAACCTTTTTATATTCTAGGCCATTTTCTAGGCACTGATAATTCAGCAATAAAGAGAGAAACATCCCTGTCTTTGGGGAGTGAACATTCTAGGTGTTGGTCTTACCTCCTCTACAAGCAGTGAACTCCTTCAAGGTCCTGATGTGGATCGTGCCTATCTTTTTCTCTTTCTTATTATGGGTACTCCTTACATTCTTATAAATTTGAATGGAATACTGTATCAGGGCCCTAGCTGAAGCCTGATAGGGCAGGAAGATAGTGCACTCTGGATGAGACTGAGCAGAGACCCCGTCCCCCAGGAGCTCTGGATTCAGAGATAGCATGCTTGAGTCTCCTGAACACCCCTCTCCTCTTCTCCCAAATCAGTCCTAAAAGAGTTGTTCCCTGGGCCATAGGAAAGTTCCTTTGTCATTTAATGTGATGTGCGAGATGCTCAACCTCAACCCAAAGGAACCACTTTGGACTCAGGACTTCTCCCCTTCTGCTTATTTTTTGCTTCAGCATCTATGCTAACTGTGGTTCCAGTACTGCAGAAAGTTGACCTCCAGCTGGTTGAATGGAATAAATGTTCCAGGTTGGTCCCCATGCTCACCCGGAACATGTTATGTGCTGGGAACCCTGAAAGTGGAAACGATGCCTGCCAGGTAATGAAGCTTGATCTGCAGTTGTACAGGGGTTGCCATGGAGGGCTGGGCAGCATTTGCAGGATTGTTGATATCTCTCTTCCTCCTCTTAGAGTCCTTGTGTGGCACAGACAGTTAAATGTTCAACTACTAACCAAAAGGTTGGCAGTTCAAACCCACCCAGAGGTCCTTGGAAAAAAAGGTCACAGCCTTGAAAGCCCTGTGGAGCACAGTTCTACTCTGCAGCACATGGGGTCACCATGAGTCATAATTGACTAGACAGCAAATGGTTTGGTTTTTTTTTGGTTTGTGGTCCTCTGGATAAGATACTCAGTTATCCAAGGGAGGCAGCAAGGGGTAGTGGTTAAGGGTGGAAGCTCTGAAGCTTGATGATCTGGTTTCCCTCCTGGCTCTTCTACTCATTGCTTATGTGCCCTGGACAACACAGGCCTGGGCTTTCCTTGGACATTCCCCCTGTGCCTGTATCTTTTCATATTTCCTCAACTGTAAGGTGGGAACATTAAAAATTTCTACCATTTAGGGTTGAAGCATTAGTGGCTCAGTGAGAGAATTCTTGCTTTCCATATGGGACACCTGGGTTTGATTATTGGGCAATGCACCTAATTTGTAGCCACTAACTATGAGTTGGGGCCGACTCGACGGCAAATAACAACAACAACAACTGTCTGTTAGTGATGGCTTCCATGTTACTATGATGCTGAACATGTTTCAATGGAACTTCCAGACTGAGACAGGCTAAGAAGAAAGGCCTGGTAATCTGTGTCTGGAAATAAACCAGAGAAAATTCCATGAATCACAATGGTCTGATCCATAACCAATCATGGGGATGTTGTGGGACTGGGCAGCATTTCATTTCATTGTGCATGGGATCACCATGAATTGGGTGCTAAGTTGATAGTAGCTAACAGCAACAGGGTTGCTGTGAGAATTGAGTTAATGCATGCAAAGCACTTAGAATGGTATGCAGCAGAGGAAGGTAACAGTCAATGTTATATATATTATTTTCTCCATCCCTAAGCTTTATGTACATCTAATGCTCTATAGCATACGAACTACATAAAAGTGTTTTGAATTAGCTCTATGAGGCAGGCCTATTTCAGATGGGGAAACTGAGAATCAGAGAAGCTTACAGTCTCTGCTGAGGACACACTAGCAAGTCAAGGGCAGACCTAAGTAACAAAGTCATGCTGACTTTTGAGATGAAAACTAGCTTTTGGGCTCCAGTAGAAACAGGGAACCTAAATCCAGCAAGCCAGCCGGACCTGGAATAGAGTCACCTAGTCCATAAATCACAAAAATAATGAGAGTTGCCATTGATTAAGTCCTTGCATATGTCAGAACTATGCTTCACAGGTGTCATCTCCTTTAACTGGCACAGTCATCCTGTGGGAGAGGTACAGTTACTATCACCAGTTTAAAAACAAAGGTTTTAAACATTTAATGACCCCTAGATGGTGCAAATGGTCTGTGCTCAGCTGCTAATCTAAAGGTTGACAGTTCAAACCCACTCTGGTACTACAGAGGAAAGGACTAGGACAAATGATCTATAAAGATTACAGCTAAGAAAATCTGATGGGGCAGTTCTACTCATAAGACATGCAGTGGCCATGAGTCTAAATAGATCAAATGACAACAGTTGTGTTTTTTTTAAATTTAAGAAAATTTTCAAATTTACACAGCAAAATTCACTCTTGGATTCCTAACAACATTTGTTTGGCTCTAGAAATCTAAGTTATTAACTACACTGCTGCTTTCATATAGATCTCTTTGTCTGCAGAGAAGAAATTATAATTCTTCATTTTAAAGATAGGTTACATGAGTTTCCAATGCCTTCAAGGAACTTGGTAAAGAAATTTTTGTTCAAACTGGGCCCAGCAATTTGTTCATGTTAACAATGTGGTACAAAGGATCAAGGAACACCATATCCTGGTGATGCTGCTCTTATTGTTTTTGTATTTGGAACTCTAACACATCACTGAGTGCTTTCTTTCAACTTTTGGTGTGCATTTATTTTTAAATTTAGATTTTTTTTTTTTTTGGGTAAACAATATGTACAGCTGGATGCCATTTCTATGAAACAGTAATGATTTATGTATATTTGTATACACAAGGATGTAGAAAGTTATACTTTGAGATCTTACTAGCAGTTGCCTTTGCTTGGGTAGAATTATAAATGTCATTGGTTTATTTGAAAATGTATACATGCACATGGTAAAGAAAATCTAAATAGTACTAACGAGTATAAAGTGGAGAGTAAGTCTCCCTCTCCCACTTGAACTCCAATTCACTCCCCAGAGGGAAACCATATTATAGGATGTGGCTAAGGCACTTGACTGCTAACCAGAAGGCTGGTGGTTCAAACCCACCAGCCACTCCTTGGAAGGAAGATGGGGCAATCTACTTCCATAGTGATACTGCCTCGGAAACCCAAGGAGGGGTCGCTATGAGTCGGGTCCGACTCGATGGCACACAACAACAACAACAACAACATCCTTCCTGAAATATTCTTTTCATATAAATCTCATGTGTATATTTATATATTTACATATAAATTTAATTATTCTTATAGTTATGGGTATTTTCATGTTATTTTTCCATATCTGAATTTTCTGATTTTTTTTCGATACTATAAACAACACTATTTAACAGAATGAAAAAAACAACTTGAAAGGTTTTGTATTTCCCAATTTTCAGGTCAATTTTTGTCTGCTTAGCTTTTTTGGCATTTTTTTTTTCATGATGCTTTAAATTTTTTAAAATTGCTTAAAATGTAATGTTTTAAGACAAAATATAACATGTTGGGTTTTTGTTTTGTTTTTGCATCTTACATATATCAGTTTGTATGCATACTGTATTTAACCAATGACCTATTATGAGACATAATGGATGTTTTGTTTTTGTTTCTTACTTTTTGCTATTGTGAGCAATGCAAAGAATGGGCTAGTTGGAAATGAATTTGAACAAAACACTGAGAAGTTTTGAAGAATTCTGTAAAACAATAAGTGATTAGAGACAAATGGATTAGAAAACCATTGTTTGGTATATCAAAATTAATACACAAAACTCAATGATGATGAATATTACCTTTGGCCAAATTGTCATTTATCATATTGCTTGTGATCAAATGTTTAGCTGCCTTTTCTAATAGTCACATTGTTTGGAGCACAGTCATGTAGTTGTGAAGCCTAATCAAAATTAAATATATCAGCTTATCCCAAAACATCACTAAGTGCTTTTAGCCTCGTTCCAGTGCCTATACCTTAATAGACTCTAGGAGTGGCTTGTTACAGTCCCTTCTACTCCCAACCATCTCTTTTCTCTTAGGGTGACAGTGGGGGGCCTCTGGTTTGCCAGAAAAAGGAGAACCAAAGCATATGGTACCAACTGGGAATTGTCAGCTGGGGAGTGGGCTGTGGCCTGAAGAACAAGCCTGGAGTGTACACAAAGGTGTCTAATTATCTGCTATGGATTAATAGGGAGACAAAGACGGCAGGAAAGCCCTACATGCATGAGCCAGACTCCGGGTTCAATTTCTTTGTATCATCCTGGGCCATATTGTTACTGTATCTTGTGATATTGCTATTTTCCCAGTGATTAAACACTGTATTGCCTCAAAACCAAGTGTTCTTCTCAGTTTGTGATGTAAGGTCAAGGATGGGTGTACCTTATGCAGAGTGATTCTCATACAATTAGCAGTTCTTGAGCTAATATATACCTATTACTAGTTACCAGTTGCCATGGGGTCAATTTTAATTCAAGCCTACCCAGTGTGTGTCAGAGTAGAACTATGCTCCATAGAGTTTTCATCAGCTGATTATTCGGAAGTTGATCACCAGATTTACTTCTGAAGTGCCTCTGAGTGGACATGAACCTCCATCCTTTCAGTTAGCAGCCAAGCACATTAACCATTTGCAAACACACAGGGTTTCATCATATACATACAGGACCAGGTTCAGGGCTCACCAGGAGCTTGTAGAGAGATGCTTCCAAGCCACCAATTTCAGCTTTAGTCTTCTCCAAAGGTTTGAGTGAAGCACCTTTGCATAGGGAAGGACAAGCTAGAGACCCCTAAAATAGAAAGCCTATTCTTTCCTCTCTTGTAAGCAGGTAACTTTTCACAGATTTTTTTTTTTTTTTTAATCTTCCAATGGGGTAGGCAGCTCCCAAATTTATTTTGCTAGTGAAATAAGAAATATTTTCAACTCTTCTTTTTCCCTTCATTGTCAGCTCATCCCTGAGACCTACAGGTTTGATTTCCAGAAAGACCTCTATTCTTCACCCTCCTTTGCTTGAAGAGCTACCACCTGATCCAGAGCCTCAGAGAATTCTGCTTTCAGTACTCTGAAACCATGAACAATAATGTTAAAATTCAGGATCAGGAAATAATTGTAGCAGAAATGTCCTAGAGATAGGGTGGTAAATAAACACACAGCTACTAGGTTGTACCAGCCAAGGAATTTTGCATTCAAGTGTCAGACTCAACCTAAAAGAAATGAGAATATTATAGGGTACCACATAATCAAATAAAGAGCAGTACAAGTTTGGGAAGCTGTTCTAGCAAGCACAACCATGAGAAGCTGTTCCAGTAGACAGCTGTCTGATAGTTTTACTTAGTCCATGAGTACATTTCAGACCATCTGGGTGACTGGGTGGACAGTGCATCATTCATGCAATCATCTATGAACATAATTTTTCCAATCAGGCAAGAGATAATAAATGGCACTTTTCTTCTGAGGCAAGTCAAAGAGGGAGGGAAAAGTGGTTCAAAAATGTGTTTATGTCAATTTGTCTTAAGTAAAATTCTTTGATCTGTGAATTGTAAAGGAAAAATCATCATTTGTACACACACATTCTGAGAGGGAAGAAAAGAAATGATGAAAGGACAGTTACTCTACTCTGGCCTTAAAAAACATCAGAGGAAAATAGTTTGATTACCATCTGAATCTAGGCAGATGATGAGTGAAGAAGCACGTAGATGGATGAGAGTAGGAAGAATTCAGTATACAGTTACTCTTTGTAAAATCTGCAGAGAATTTTGAGCTCTGGTTGCATAGTGCCCAAGGCAATTGACTGCTAACCAGAAGGCTGGTGGTTCAAACCCACCAGCCACTCCTTGGAAGGAAGGCTGGGCAAACTACTTCCATAGTTATACCACCTCGGAAACCCAAGGAGGGGTTGCTATGAGTCAGTTCCTACCTACTCCATAGCAGTGTGTTTGGTTTTTTTTTTTTTGTTTTGTTTTTTAACCATGGAAATATGGCTAGAAGCAGATGTGTTAATGCTCTGGAAAAGCTAGCTTTTAAAAGAATTTCCTCTTTGAAAGGAAAGAAGAGTTTTCGGGTTCAGAAGGCAAAGACTGGGAAAGGCTAGGAGAGGGGTCACAGTCTTGTGTCCTCAGTTCAAGGGGGCATGCTGACAGAAGTTGAACCAACCAGACCACTCAGCTATGCTCCAGAAAGAGGGAGTATATGTGAGGGAGTTACTTTGCCTCCACCATAAAGTATGCTGTCAAACTTTTAGATTTTGCCAATCTTATATGGAAGAAATGAGAGCTCAAAGTAGTTATTATTATTATTATTATTAAATTGAAGTATAATTTACATGGGAAAAAATGTTCTGATCTTGTGTATAGTCGATGAGTTTTTATAACTCCTTATACCTGTATAACCCATACCCCTAGAGAACATTTCTAACATCACTGAACCATTGAATGATCCTTCATGACTCTTTCCCATCAATCACAACTTGGCCCCGAACTCCCCACTTTCTGCCAGTCAATCACCACTCTGGTTTCTTTCACTATGTATCAGTTTTGCCTGTTATAGAATTTCATATTAATGAAATAACATAGTATGTACTTTTTTGTGTCTGGTTTCCTTATCTTAACACTTTTTTGAGTGTCACCCATTTTGTTGTCAGTGTCAGTAATTCTTTCCTTATCATTTTAGAGTAATATTCAATTAGCAAATATTCAAGTCAAATTCAGAAGAGGACATGGAATGAAGGATATCATTGCTGCTGTCAGGCGGATCTTGGTTGAAAGCAGAAAATACCAGAAAGATGTTTGCCTGTGGATTGTTGACTATGCAAAGGATTTGACTTTGTGGATCATAACAAATTATGGATAACATAGGAAATAATTGGAATTCCATAATACTTAATTGTGCTCATGAGGAACCTGTAGATAGACCAAGAGGCAGAATAGAACAAGGAGATGCTGTGTGGGTCAAAATTAGGAAAGGTGTGCTTCAGGGTTGTATCTTCTCACCATACTTATTCAATCTGTATGTTGAGCAAATAATCTGAGAAGCTGGACTATATGAAGACAAATGTGGCATCAGGATTGGAGGAAGACTCATTAACAGCATGAGATGTTCAGAGAACACAACTTTGCTTGGTGAAAGCAAAAAGGACTTGAAGCACTTACTGATGAAAATCAAAGATTACAGCCTTCTTTTTGAATTATACCCAATATAAAGAAAAGGAAAATTCTCTCAACTGGACCAATAAACAACATAATGATAAACAGAGAAAAGATTGAAGTTGTCAAGTATTTCATTTTCTTTGGATCCACAGTCTACATCCATGGAGCAGCAGTCAAGAAATCAAATGACATATTGCATTGAGCAAATCTACAGCAAAAGATGTTTTAAGTATTAAAACCAAAGATGTCACTTTGAAGAGTAAGATGGTCCTGACCCAAGCCATGGTATTTTCATTTGCCTCATGCACATACAAAAGTTGAACAATAAATAAGGAAGACCAAAGAAGAATTGGTGCTTCTGAATTACAGTGTTGGTGAAGAATATTGAGTATACCATGGACTATCAGAAGAAAGAGCAATTCCATCTTGGAATTGGAAGAAGTACAGGCTGAGTGCTTGTTAGAAGTGAGGACGGCGAGACTTCATCTCACATACTTTGGACACGTTATCAGGAGGGAGAAGTCCCTGGAAAAGAACAGCATGCTTGGTAAACTAGAGGGTCTGGAAAAGAGAGGAAGACTCTGAATGAAAAGGAATGACATAGTGACTGTAAGAATGGGCTCAAACATAGCAACAGTTATGACAATGACACAGGACTGGGCAGTGTTTTGTTCTGTTGTACATGGGGTCACTATGAGTCAGAACTGACTCAACAGACCCTAACAACAATAGTACTCAATTGTAAGGATATACCAGAATTTATTTATCTTTTCTCATGTTTCCAGTCTGGGGCTGATATTAGTTAGTTAAACTACTATGAATGTTCTTGTATAAGCCTTTTTCCACATATATGATAATTTTCTTGGGCAAATACCTAGAAGTAAAATTGCTAGGTCATAGAATACGTGTAGGTTTAACTTCAGGATAAACTGTCAGATCAATTTGAAAGTGGTTGCAACATTTTATACGATCTTCATCCCAGTAATATACGAACGTTCTAGTTGTTCCATATATTTGCTGACTTTTGGCATTTTCAGTCTTTTTAATTTCTCTATTCTAAGGATGTGAAATTGCATTTCATGCTTTTAATTTACGTTTCCCTTCTGACTAATGATGTTGAACACTTTTTACATTACTGGCCATTTATATATCTTCCTTTGTGAAATGCCTGTCTTTCACCCATTTTTAATTTTTATTATTTTTCTTTTTATTATTGAATTGTAGAAGTAGATTATATATTGCATATATACATACATATGTACATACTGTGTCCTTTGTCAGAGAGTGTTTTCTCCCAGACTGTGTCTTGCTTATTTATTTTCTTAGTGGTATCTTTTAATAAGCAGAATTCTTGAATTTTGATTATATCCATTTAATCATTTTTTTCATGATTAGTACATCCTGAGTAGAAAAAAATTTCCTACTCCAATATTGAGAAGATGTATTTTACTGTTTTCTTCTAGAAACTTTATCATTTTAGTTTTAACATTTCTGTCTGTTATCCATCTTGAAATAACTTCGAGTTACTGGACATAGTGTGATATGGGTTAAGATTTACTTAATCATGTTCATAGACAATTGTATTGAAAAAACTTCTTTTTCTCCATTGAATCATTTTAATGTTTTGGTCTTAAGTCAGCTAACCATGTAAGTTGAGTCTATTTCTGGAATTATGTTTTCTTCTTTTGTTATCCTGGTTAGTTTAGGATTGGCTGTATGATCTGGATTTTGTTTGATGTCTAACTTGGATAATTTTGTTTCCACTTAAAAGTGGAGTACATGTAGTCTGTGGCATGTAATAATTTATATCACCTAAGGAGCTCTGATGGCTAGTGTCCAAGGCATTTGACTGCTAACCAGATGGCTGCCAGTTCAAACTCACCAGCTACTCCTCAGAAGGAAGATTGGGCAATCTACATCTGTAGTGATACCACCTTGGAAACCTAAGGAGGTGTCACTGTAAGTCGGATCCAACTCAATGGCAGTGTTTGGTTTTTGGTATGGTAGCTTAAAATGAACTGGCTAATGAAAGCAAGCTTTTGATAGACCAAGTAGTTGCTGATATTGACCACTAAATTGAAAATAAGGAATACAAGGATTAAAGTGCTAAGTGCTTAAATTAGAGTTTAAATCAAGAAATTAATAGACTCAGGGTTTTAGGCTTTTTATTTAAGTCATGGTTAAAGGACCAGAGAGCTTCTATACCTGCTATAAAAATATTTTTTATGTCTCATAGCTACAAAACTAATGTAGCCAAAAATAGGGCTATCAACCTAATCCTACTCCTTGTGTTAAAATATAAATTAAATTTGCAGCTTTTGTAGATCTCTCATGTGAAAGGATTTGGGGAAAGTATAGAAACTTAAGAACCAAAATAGGAATATTTGGGTGGATTTATATGTAAGTATCTTGAACCTCCAAATACCACTAAGCCTTCCTTGACAGCAGAAAATTTCTTCCTTTGAAAATTCTGGCCTTCTCTTTACTGAAATTCCTTACCTGAGGCAATACCTTACAAGGAGATGCCAATTGTCCTTGAGACTCAACCCATTAACTCTCATGGCCTCTATGTTTATAATTAGAGTCTATTCTTAAAATATCTCAGAAAAAAGTACAATTGGATTTGAGAGGATTCAGATTAAAGATAAAGGAAAGACAAAATTTTGCTAACTTATATCAGAAAGAACCTATGAAATATTGTTAAAAAGATATGTAAAGGTGTTGGATCAGGGAGAAAGAACATAGCATTGGGTTGGGCCAAACTTATTGATATAAATTTACTTACCACAGATTCTGGAGTCAATTAACTGTTGAATAGCTGGGAGTGGTTCTACTAATTTGCTTGGTTGGTTCATTGAAACCTGAATTT